GTCTTGAGAGAAAAGTCTGCGGGGATCCCCGTAAATCCCCCACCCAGCGTGCAGCTCCACCGTGCCCAGCATCTCCCTCACTGCCACAGTGGCCTTCCACGAAGATGATGGAGGCTGTTCTTTGGTGTTGGCTAGTAACCTCCACTACCTGGCTTCTGGCGCCCTCTGCTGCAAGGCCTGGAGAGAAGCTGACTCCTTGGAGACTGGAGTCTACTAGGTGGCCCTGCAGGAGCTCCCTTCTGCTGGGATTCTGGGGTGGGGGAAGCCTAGAAGAGGAGGCAGAAAGGCCCTTGCAACCACCCCCCCTCATTTTCCTTCTTTCTGAGTTTTCTTTCCCTTGAGTTCGATTTCCTGAATAATGCAGCAGGTTAACAGGAGAGATTGGCGCCCGTGGGTGCATAGTTAGGTGTCACCAGATGTTGGGGTGGGGGGGGTAAAGCATGCTGTAATGGACTGCTCTCCTTCAGAGGGACGTAGAACTAAGAATGCTCCAGGTCCACAAATGTCCCCTGCCATAGCTCCTAGGCCCAACCTGAGAATACTAAAAAAGTCACACACCAGGGTAGATGCAAGAGGTGTTTCCTATGACTTCTGGTTCTGGTGAGATGCTGGGTGCATTGATTAGTAGCCATTGGCTATGAATTGACTATATTAGGCCTATTTTAAGAGGTATTTAGTCATCAGTATGGGTCTGGAATGCAGGTGGGCAATAATCTGAAGCAGCCTGACTCTACAGAGGTTTGGCTTTCTGGGTCAGGTACAACTCTGGGTGCACCGTTTACTAGCCATTGGCTGTGAGTTGACTGTATTCAGTCTCTTCTATAAAAAGGCATTTAGTCACCAGTATGGGGTTATAACCCTGACTCTACAGAGATTCGGATTTCTGGATTTGGTGAAACTGGGTGCATTGTTTACTAGCCAGACTCTGAGTTGATTGTATTGGGACTCCTATTGTAAAAGGCCTTTACTCACCAGTATAGGGCTGGTATTTAGGTGGAAAATATTCTGAAACAGCCTGATTTTACAGAGGTTTGGATTTCTGATTCTGGTGAGACTCTGGGTGCATTACTTACTAGCCATTGGCTGTGAGTTGATTGTATTCGACCGCTTATTTAAAAAGACATCTAGTCACCAGTATGGGGCTGGAATTGAGTGGGCAATATTCCAAAGTAGCCTGATTCTACAGAGGTTTAAATTCATGGTCCTGGTGAAACATTGGGTACATTGTTTACTAACCATTGGCTGTGAGTTGATTGTATTCAGTCCCCTATTTAAAAAGGCATTTAGTCACTAGCATGGGACTGGAATCCAGACATTCAGACGGGGAATATTTGAAGCAGCCTGACTCAGAGAGGTTTGGATTTCTAGATCTGGTAAAATCCTGGGTGCATTGTTTACTAGCCATTGCCTATGAGTTGATTGTATTCAGCCTATTTAAAAACACAATTAGTCTCCAGTATGGTGATGGAATCCAGGTGGGGAATATTATGAATCTGTCTGATTCTACATAGGTTTTGATTTCTGGTTCTGGTGAGACTCTGGGTCTACTGTTTACTAGCCATTGGCTTTGAGTTGATTGTATTCGGCCTTCTATTTAAAAAAAAGGCATTTAGTTACCTCAACTGGGCTGGAATCCAGGTGAGGAATATTCTAAAGCAGGGTGACTCTACAGACGTTCGGATTTCTGGTTCTGGTGAGACTGGGTGCCTTGTTTACAAGCCATTGGCTATGAGTTGATTGTTTCCCGCCTATTTAAAAAGGTATTTTATCATCAGTATGGGCTGGAATCCAGGTGGAGAATATTCTGAAGCAGCCTGACTCTACAAGAGGTTTTAGTTTCTGGTTCTGGTGAGACTCTGGGTGCACTGCTTACTAGCCATTGCCTGTAAGTTGATCGTATTCAGCCTATTTAAAAAGATATTTAGTCACCAGTATTGGGCTGAAATGCAGGTGGGGAATATTCTGAAGCCACCTGCCTCTGCAGAGGTTAGGATATCTAGTTCTGGTGAGACTCCAGGTGCATTGTTTACTAACCATTGGCTGTGAACTTATTGTATTTGGCCTCGTATTTAAAAAGGCAGTTACTCACCAGTATGTGTTGGAATCCAGGTGGGCAATATTCTGGAGCAGCCTGCCTCTACAGAGGTTTTGATTTCTGGTTCTGGTGTGACTCTGGATGCACTTTTTACTAGACACTGACTGAAATGATTCTATTCAGCCTCCTATTTAAAAAGGCATTTAGTCACTAGTATGGGGCTGGAATCCAGGTTGGGAATATTATGAAGCAACGTGACTATATAGAGGTTTTGATTTCTCATTCTGGTGACATTCTGGCTGTACTGTTTACTAGCCACTGGCTGAGTTGACTGTATCAGGTTACCCATGGTGGACAGTGTTTGGTGAAGCTCCCTGACTAAAACAAGGTTGGAAGAAGGAGTGGCATCCACTTCCAAAATAGCTTGCCTTCAGAACTCTATGAACTTGGAGAAATGATGAAAGTTTACAAGTGTTCAGGTCTTTCGTTTATAAGATCGCTATGAGTCATCTAGGACTCGATGGCATTTAACAACAATAACAAAGAAGGCATGTATGTGCAGAGCATGGGCCAAAGGCCCATCTCAGAGAAACTTCAGAGATGCAGGGTGCTCTGGAGTCTGTTTGGTCTTTGTTCTTATTGTGCAGAGGGAGGGGATAGCCATGCTCACAGCCCTTCCTGGTGTCCAGACGGGCAGGTCAGCTGCACCGACACAGCAGTTCCCCCCCCCCATGCACTGTAGCACCTCCAACTGAGTTGGGGTGTTCAGGTTTCTCTCCTTGTGTCTTCTGCTTCCACTGCAGCATGGGGTGTACCAAAGCTGGGTTTCCTTTACCAGCTCTTCTTGGATGAGGGTCTGAGAAACATGGAGGCCAAGATGAATCTTGCCCAATTCCCCCCTTGTCTTAATTACTGAGTCACCTAAACATGTGACCTAGTCACTAGGTAATACCTAGTCACTAGGTAATACTAGGTAATAGGTGCTTTCTGAGAACTATAGCCCAAACAGATTTCTCCATTCACCTCATTGCACGTCCACATCTGGGGCACATCATGGTGGCTCCATTCAGATCTGCATCACTAAGGCTCTCTGGTACCATGGGTAACACCCAGGATCCTCACTGGGAAAAGGCAGAGGGCAGCACCCTGGCCCAGCTGTGTCAAAGCTCCTCTTCAATTTAATCTCCTCTGGAGGCCCTGAGTCTCTACATGGGGGTGGCAGTGGCAATGTCTGTCCTATGGAGCGGTGAGGAATCAGTGCGACTCACCCAGAGAACAAGGCACGTGGCAGGAAGTGGTAGCTGCTGTTTGCAACAATCTTGTATGGACACCAAGTCTAGATTATCGAGGCTCAGGAAGGCAGGCTGTGTCTAGGCTGGCTCCACCTTCTTGTCAACAGACATAACCCTACAGTCACTTTCTAGGATCCAGAGGCAGCAGCAGGGCGAGGCAAATGAGCCACCAGAAGCAAGCACTTAAATGTCAGGAGTGCTCAGCTGCTGACAGCGCCAACCACACAGCAGGAGTGCTGGAACCACATCCCTGTCAGGCTCAGGGCAGCGGCAGCAGCCAAGCCAAGTGGTGCCTCCTAGGCAACGGTGGAATCTCTAGAGCCCCCTGTCCCATTCAGGCTGCACCTCGAAGCTGTTGTGTTCCAAAGTGCCACTAACGAGCCCTGGGAGTTCGCCTCTAGCTTACTGCCCCATCTGGATAAGTTCCACACAACAACACTGGCTGAAAATGAGGAACCACTTTTATTGAACAGCTGAGGGAGCTGGAGTTGAAAAGTCAGCTGGACTTCTTACACACCACGTGGAGAGTGCCATGCCACCCCTATGCCCCTGCCCTCCAAGCTTTGTTGCCTGCAGGTGCCAAGGGAAGGCCTGTTCATAGGATTCAACCACAGTCCAAATGTGCCGCTGAGTTGTGGCCTCCTTTGGAAACCGTCCTTTCAAAATGCCCTCTTCCCTGGCTGAAACATCTCTTCCCTTTAAGAGCAGATTTCTCCCTGATAGGTCCATAGACATATCAGAAGTGCTTCCAGAAAGTGCCCTCTGAATGTAAAGAACAGATCCCTGGGAACACTTTTGTGACCTTAGACTTGGACCTCTCCGTGATTCTGTTGTTCGGATCTGGTCTGGCCCACCGCTGTAGGGCTCCAGTTTCAAGTCGTGCTTTGTCATGATTGGCAAGGCCCACCCCCAGCGGTGGGGGCAGCACAGATCGGGGGACAGCCTGCTCCAGCTGAAGAGAGCCAGGAGTGGGTAAGGGACCATGTCCTGCCGTGCTGAGGCCAGCACAGCACATGGCACCCTCAAGTACAAGTGTGTAAAAAAATACAGAATAGACTATACAGACTAGAATCTCACCTGTATGGCACAGTGCTAAAATAGTCATATAAATACTATACAGGCATGGAGTCACTCCATGACAAAGGGTTCACCAAGAGGGTCTCAACAGAAACTGCCATCCTCACATCCCAAGAGCACTGCATCCAGGGCAAGGTGCTGGCAAGGAGGCGCCAAGGCACACAGACCAGAGGGTGGGGACAGATGCAGAGCTCAGAGGACCGCAGGGTAGGAGGTGTCTCAGCCCAATGTCATGGCGGCTGACAAGCTTTCCAATGTTGTGATCAATTTAACATTTTACTCAACGTGAAGACATCTCCCGGGGCCTAGCGGGCCCACCTGGCAGTCAGTTCCTTCCTTTTTTCTGAAGGACACACATTCCCTCGAGTTTTTAATCTGACCCTCTACCCCCACACCAAGTCCTTGGTCTCTGTGGCACGCGCATGAGTAGTGGGGAATCACAGACAGGTTTTGAATGCCAACAAGGAGTGAGACGACAGTGCCTGGGGCCCCCAGCTCCAGCTCCAGTCCTGGTGGAGGGTGCATATGGAGGCTGAGGAAAGGGAAGAGCGTGCGCTTCATCCACCAACACTCCCTCTAGGGAAAAAATGGGGGCTTTAATCTGGCATTTCAATATTCAACTTAGGAGGAGGGAGCACATACTTCCCAGGGCTCTGGGTAATGACTACTCTGGCCTTCTTTCGAAACAGAGGAGCAATTTTAGGAGGTTCTGGAACAGGAGTTTCTTCGGTTTCTTCATTATCTTCATGATGGAGATCATAGGAAATGTTTCCGTACTCTCTTAAAAATGGGAAAATTTCAAGCAAAAACTGACAGAAATCTTTGCGAATGCCGAACCACCCTGAAAAATAAGAAAGTGCTTCTTCAAACACTGGGAAGGCAGTGCCTGGGGCAGAGTGTGGAGGCAGAGCGTGGAGGCAGAGGGTGATGGCAGGGGGTGGAGTCAGAGCCTGGAAGCAGAGTGTGGAGGAGGAGGGTGGAAGCCACTCGAGAGCCTGGCCCTTGCCCACTCGAGCCCTCCAAAAAGAGTGGGGCTCTTTTGGGGCTCAAGTGTCTGAGTGCACTTACACAAAGCTGCTATTCTCTAACTCCTCAATCACTCTTCCGTGTAGAGGAATTCTGCCCGTCCCCCTGGGATGAGTGATGCCCTCACGGGAGTGTGGGTACAGGCCCACAAAAGCGGGGCTATTGGGGCCCTTCCACTTTTACCACAGGACTGCAGCGAGGTGCTGGTTCTCCTTGTGTGTGGCCCACAAGGACCAATTGGCTGCAGTCTCAGTCTGCTCCACCCCACTTCACTGGCCTCCAGAAGGCCTCAGGGGGTCCACTCACTCACTCACTGGTGTCTGGTCAGTTCTGGCTCAAAGCTTACCCTCCCGAGGGTCTCTGAGGCTGTAAATCCTATTGAGAGGAGATTGCTCATCTTTCTCACAAGGATTCGAACCTCTGCAGATGCATAGCCTTTGGGTTAACACCTAAACTCTCTATGGACTATGGCATCAGAGGTCCCTGTAGGGGTACAAAAGAGCTCCAAGGATTGTAAGGAGGCATCCATTCAAAGAGCTTTCGAATCCACATGCCTGCCAAGAAGAACTGCTAGCCAAGCGAGCCTGGTAAGACGGGCTGGGAGGTGGGATCACATACTCCTCAACACGTAGCCCACGGTGGCTAGAAGAGTGGTAGTGGCCAGTGGAGACATGGCCTTCCACTGCAGACCTGGCATCCCCACGGGCTTTCCCAAGCAAGCCCTTCGTGTGGGTTCCCAGGAGCCTTCTCTTTCCCCAGTCTTGTGCACAAAGCTGCTCCGAGGGCTTCCAGATGCCCGGTACTTACAGTGGTTTCCTCCCTTCTGTCCAAAGGTGGTGGCCATGAGAGTGATGAGCGAGAGCCACAGTGGAACAAATATGGGAATACAAGAGAACGTGTTATGGCCATCCAGTTTGTGAACCAGCAGGATCTGGAGAGACAAAGAGGCAACGTCACGCTGATGCACCACCATCGGGTGGTCAGAGTAGGCCTGTGGGCAGAGGGGGGTGGGGCAGTGCATGGCATGGACACTGCAGACTCAGAATGCCCGTGCGCCTCAGAGAACGCACACATGGGGCCTGCTGCACACTTCTCCTTGGAAGAGCTGATCCTCCAGGGGGTTTTCCAAGGCTGTGAATCGCACAGGAGACGCTGACCATCCTTTTCCTGAGGAGTAACCGGTGGACTTGAACTGTCAGAAAGGTGTGGCCTTGGAATCAGCGCTGCTTAAGTCCCTGTGGACTAGAACACTTGAGCTTCCTTATCAAAAAGTAGCCACAGCAATAAATACAGACATGTCTCCGTGAGAAGGAAAAGGGCTCCCACACTCAGACAGGAAAGGCTGGGCTCATTTCCCAGAAGGCCTCCCTGGGCATCCCGGTGGAGTGGGTGTCCTGTGAGGTCCAGGGAAAGGGGTGGTGTGGGGCATGAAGAGCGTACCCAGAGAAAGCTCACCTCAAACGTGAGAAGCGGCACGACAATGGTCATCCAGCTCAAGGCCATCGTTATGTGTGTCCTCCGCTGCTCCGCAATCACATCCATGGAGCGCAGGAACAAGACAGACCACACAATGTAGTAGAGGACCACCAGGCACAGGAAGGACATGAGAATCCACAGGGGGACACACACGACCTGAGCAGAGGACGAGACATCTCTGCAGCTCCCATTATGGCAGGACAGCAAGACAGCCGTCCAGAAGGACAGTCCTCCATCCCCTGACAGCCAAGGGACAGCGTGGCAGGGTCAGCACTGCGTTTGCCAGGGAATGCTCCCCACGGCCCACTCTGCAAGGCAGCATGCCTGGCCTCGGCCCAATCTCTGCTTGACACCTAGTGCTCTTAGTGCCCTGGCTCCCAAGGGTCCAGGGCAGAGCTGTCGCTCCAGAGCCACAGACACTTTCGTTTTCTCTTCACAGGCAACACTGCACCCCGCTCCTCTACTGGGCAGCAGGTCTGCTCACTTGCTCCCCAAATGACAGCTGCCCAGCTTCCTACTGGTCCCTGCTGATACAACTGCAGACAGAGGGTGCTGATGTGATCCTACTGCTACATTCACGCCAAGGCGGGTTCCGTATGATTCTGCTGTGGAACTGCAAAGACCTGGAGCCCCTCACACAGCCACGCGAGGGGCGAGGAGCCACCACAGGTCCCAGCTCTTGACCTGCCCACCCCCCTGGAACTACTTGGTCTGTTACTCCTTCTTTATCAATTCTCATATAAGAAAGTGGTCTTTTTGCTTTTATGTACAGTTAGAGAACTTTTACCACACATGTAACTTTTATCTCATGCAACCACAGCTGCCAAACGGATGCACAACAGTCCTGACACCCCACAAACACTGTGCAGGAGCACAGAGCCCTCAGTTATTCCCCTGGCAACACATCCTTAAACTTCTGCACCGTCTAGAATGTCCGAGAATTGGAATCAGGCAGCAAGCAATTTCAGACTGGTTTCTCTGAGCCTCTTCCTGAGGTGCATTTACAGATGCTGTGCACATCAGGACAGGTCTCTCTGTTAGACTGCACGGCAGTATTCCATAGTAATCTATTAGCTCTGCTTACAGGACTGGGGGTAGCTTTCCCTAGTCTGCTACAATGAGCAGGAATTAACTTTTACAAGGGGAAAAAAAGCGTATGATTGAAGGATTTAGAAAATTACATACGAGCCACGGCCAGTGGATGATCTTGTCCAATCTTAAGGCAATGAAGATAAATTGCAGAATGTTGACGGAACACAAGATTTCTAACTAAAAAGGAAGAGAAGAATTCATTAACCTGCTGACCAGTACTGGAATGATTTGGTTGGCACACTGTGAGATAATTAAAATTGCAACCAGGAAAACTTTTTAATGTTACACTGATTTTCAGCACCACAGCAGGCACTCAAGTGCTGTCCCCAACAGAAACCAGGCACTGCTGCATGCCATGTCCCCCCTCCGCGAGGTGGCTGTCCCACCCGTTACGGGCTTGAAGCCTGAGCGGTGGATGGCTTTCAAGCCTCCTTCCGGCTCCAGCAGCAAGCACCTAGGTCCTCAACCATTCGTGAGCTCCCTGTTACCCAGCCCTCTGCCCTGTAATCGTCTTGATTCCTTACTCCACCTTATTGTTCAAGGTTATTTACCACTAAATCGGAACCGACTCACAGCTGCCCCGCCAGTGAGTTTGCAGAGGCTGTAAATCACAGAGGAGGAGACTGCTAGCTCTCTCTCATGGAGCAGCTGGTGGATTTGAAACACTTGCCTTTGGGTTGGTAGTACAAGCCCTTACCACAAGGCCAAGAGGGCTCTTGACTCCGTCTTAGCCCTGCCGATTCATTCAAGCCTGCCTGCAGCAGCACAGAAACCTGCTCAGTTCTTTTCCCTTAAAAAGAAAACCACCTCCAGAGCAGATCAAGCCACCCTATCCAATGGCCCAGCTTGCCCCACTATGCTTGTGAGCTGCACTGGACCCTCAGCCCCTTACCTCCTGTGCCCAGCCTCACACACCGGGATGAGGCCTGCACTCACCCCGTGGCCACCCGCTGTCCACTGACACCCTGACAAGGTTGGCTGCTCTGACCTGCCTCAAACTCTCCTCACAGCCCTCAGCGCCCTCCTGCCCCACCTGCTCCTCCAACGGAGTTGCTCCACAGACCTTGAAACTCAGTCTTCCTTTTTCCCCCAGAAACACACTGGCAGACACATCCCTACTTTCCCTCACTCGCTCCAAACTGGGCATGAGGGAGGGAACACAATGATTCTGCATGGCCTTCTCTTTGCTGGTTTGCAAGGCTGTCTCCCACCAGGCCTGCCTTCTGAGCACTTAGGCCCAGCTTGGACCCCATGGTGAATCCCAAACTGCCCTTCCCCTTCTCTGCAGAGTACCACAACGGGCTCATCACTGGAACCAAGAAGCTGGAAAACACCATTCAGCATCACTCATCAACTCCCTTCCACCCCACTCCCTCCTCCTGAGTCCCCTACTACTAAGGCCTCCGCTCAGGTTCCCCTCCTTCCACAGCTTCTTCCTCACCTCCCCACCACCGTACAGCCTGCTCTCGACCCGGCAGGGAAAACTAGCCAGTGAGACGATACCTTGACTGGCACTCTAAAGCCTCAGAATCAAAAAATATGCACTTTCCAGCACAGCATACAAAGCCCAGCTTTCCGGGTTCTCAGTGTAGAAGGACTCAGTCATCCTTCAGGGCCTCCTGCTGTGGGGTTGATTCCTCATCCATCCCTAAGCTTCCCGCTTTTCCTAACCGGCTCTCTGCCATGGATCCCGTCCTCTTCTTTGTGGTTCCACGTGGACAGAGAACTCATCCTCAGAGTTTTCAGTACTTTTTGGAAAGAGGTTGTTGGTTTTGGGGACTGCTAAGTCTGGCTCAGAGCGACCCTATGGACAACAGATCTGAACTTGTCCTACCGTGGGGCACCCTTCTCATCTCTGATATACTCAAGACCGTTGCAGCGGTCAGTGTGTCAATCCACCTGGCTGAGGGTCTTCCTTGCCTTAGCCATCCCTCTGCTTTCCCAGCCATGATGTCCATCTCCAAGGAATACACTCTTCTAACAACATGCCCAAAGTATGTGAAGACAGAACTTTAACATCTTTGCCCCAAAGGAACATTCTGGCTACCCTTTCTTCAAGACACATGTGTTTGTTCTTTCGGTAGTCCATAGGATATTCACTACTATTCTCCAACACACAGCTCAAAGACATCAATTCTTTATCTTATTCATTATCCAGTTCTCCAGTGTACAAATGATTGAAAAGACTATGGCCTGAATCAGGCACACCTTCACCTTCAAACTGACATCACTGCTCCTCAGTAACTTGGAGAAGTTCCTGAGAGGACACTTGCCCAATGCACTGTCTCCTGATCTCTTAACTGCTGGTAACAAGGCTACTGACTGTGGATCCAAGTAGGACGAAATAGTTGATAATTTCAATCTTTTCTCCTTCTATCATGATGCTGCTTATTGGTCCAGTGATTCTGACGCAGCTACCTCCATTGCCCAAGTTACTGTATCAATCTATCTCATCCGGGGTCTTCCTCTCCTGCACTGTCCCTCCACCCTTCTGAGTATGATGTCTTCCAAGTACTGGCCAACCCTCCACCCTTCCGAGCATGATGTCCTAAAAGGACCGGTCTCTCCTTGCCACATGCCTAAAGTACGTGGGACAGAGCACCAAAATCCTAGCCTTCAAGGAAAAACTTGGTTTCACCCTCTCTAAAACAGACCCATCTGTTTTCTTCGAGGTCCATGGTATGCTCTATACTCTTCTCCAGCATCACAACTCAAAGGCATCAATTCTTCTGTCATCCTTAGTTATTGACTAGCTCTCTGATGCATCAAAGATCATGGCCTGGATCAGGCACACCTTAGTCTCAAGACTGACATCATTACTCTTTAGCACTTTGGAGAGATGTCTGACAGCAGACTTCCCCAATGCAGTTCTTCTTTAAATTTCCTGACTGCTGGTGCCAAGAGTATTGACTGTGGAGCTGAGAAAGCTGTAACTGTTAACAACCACAATCTCTTCTCCATCTATCAAGGTGCTGTCAATTGGCCCAAGGGTAAGAATCTTTGTCTTCTTGATGTTGAGCTCCAATCCATACTGAAGACTACAGTCCTTGACTTTCTGCAGTAAATAACTTCAGATCCTTCTTAGTTTTAGCAAGCAAGGTTGTGTGATTTACACATCACAAATTGTTGATGGGTCTTCCTCCAATCCTGATGCCACATTCTTCCTCATAAAGTCCTGCTTCCTGACTGATCTGCTCTGCATATAGACTGAAAAGGTATGGAGACAGGACATATACCTGATGCACTCCTTTCCTGATTTTGAACCATACAGTTTCCTTGCTCTGTTCTGACAACTGCCTCCTGGTTCAGGTATAGGTTTTGCATACATACAATCAAATGTTCTAGGATTCCCATTCCTCTCAAGGTTACAATTTGTTGTGATCCACACAGTCAAATGCCTTTGCATAGTCAATGAAGCACAGATAAACATTCCTCTGGTACTCTTTGCTTTTAGCTAAGGTCCATCTGACGCTGGTGATAATGTCTCTAGTACCACAGCCTCTTCTAAACCCAGCTTGTATTTCTAGTAGTTCACGGTCAAAGTACTGCTCCAGTTATTTTTGAATAATCTTCAGTAGGGTTTTGCTGGCGTGTGATATTAGTTAGATGTATACCTTTTTGCTTTCTAAAGACCAAAATTCCAAATATTTACAAGTTTCTTCCACTTTCTTCTCTGTCTACAGGTAACCCTTTCAGTGTCTCATCAATGTTCAGGGGTACTTACAGGTGCAAAGGCACAAAGACCTGGTGGTGGAGGAAAAAGCCTACTCATGTATTCTGGGCAGGGCTGAGCACTGTCCGCCAATAGGCAGCACAGTCCTATCCACCAACCCACTTCCTACCAAAATGCCACAGCTCACCCTTCCTAACCGAAAACACTGACCACACAGGTAACACCTGGAAGTTTTGGATCTCAGGGTCTGGAACTGATTTTAAAGCTCGGTCTAATTTTGTTAGTTCAAGTAATAGAGGGAAGATACAAAAGAGAGGTAGAAACTGGAACAGTCTGGAGGACTGGGTGGAAATGTGTCTTTCACCGAAGGAAGGAACAAAGAGGGAGGGAGGCTGGATAAGGAATCTGGCGTTGGTGGAAGTCAACAGCACCCAGGCAGTAGTGAAAACAGGGACTGTGCCAATGACCATTCAGACCGCATGTGTAGACTGCCAACAAGCTCGGAATCCTAGGAAACAGCAATTGATGAAAAGGTGGTGAGGGAGAGGCATCCAGAAAAGGAACCTAAGACAGAGGCGGGGGTCACCATGTGTGAGAAGAGTCTGAGATGATTTCAGACATGTGCACCACGAACCTACTGTTATCTTGTCTTCTTTAGCGTGAGACCAGAGTTTCTGGAGAGTGTGGAAAAAGTCCAAGTCCAAGGGGCTCCCAAGGACGAGAGGATGGTTAGCAAGAAAGGAGAATGTGGTTCTGGAAGACAGGCAGGGGTTCACGTGACGGCTGTAATAGGGGGCCACCAAGAGACAGCCCAAAGGCCACTCCTGAGGGGCCGAAAAACTTAGCTCAGGGTCTTGGTGTGCTCTGCAACCACTATCAGCAGGGGGAGCTTTTATGGATATTTCTTTTCTCCTTGAAATGTTAAGCTACAGATATTAGATATCCTTGTTTATCTACCTACTGCATGTGTAGTTGTGCTTTAAGTATAAAAAGATTAAGATGTTTCCCACTCCCCCCAACACATGACCTGGAGTAAGGGACCAGACTCTTTCTAATCAAGTGCAAGCTATTTATGTTCAAATAATTGACCCAAACATTACTCAGACATAATGATTACATAATAAGTTCTTAATTATATACAGCATTACTGAAGGCATGAACTCTTACCTCTAGTGACCTGTCATGTCGAAATCCCCAAACACAAGCCGCAACAGATACAGGGGAAACAAAAAACAGTGGCATGAAGACCAGGAGCCAGAAATGGCTTCCTCTCTCAATCCGGTCACAGACCAACACCTCAAACATCAGCAGGAGCAGGTGGATGCCCACTGCAATCAACATGGCTTTGAACTCCACACATGTTTCTCCTTCTGCTCTGAAAGGGGATAAAAAACACTCAGTTCACAGTCTGCATTCTAAGCAACAGTTCATGTTGATATTTCAATATGACGTGTAAATCTGATGACAAGTGAAGGAAAAGCAAGTAGAAATGTAAAGAAGTCTAATCTTTAAAACATCAAAGAATAGTTACAGCACAAATACTGAATATTAACACCAAGCGAGGCAATGACATTCCTTGTTCCGTGGCCTCTTCTTAATGAGTCTAATCTTTAAAACTACAGCAGAAGTTCAAGGCAAAGGATTTCCCCTCAGAACCATCTGAGATAGGTAGCCTTCCCTAATACTAGTATCTGGTATTTGGACTTACAAACTCCTAAACGCAACAGATACTGGCTGCAGCACATGAAACTGGCAGCAGCTTGAGGAGTTCAGAATTACAGAAGCTGAGAAAGCTTGAGATATAAGCCATCACATCAACGGCTGGAGAGAGGGAGAGAGGTGCTGAATGGAGTAGGTGGGAGTAGAAGGGAATGCTGGCGGAGCAGGCAAAGGGGTGAGTCAAGACACGTGTCAAGGGCGGGGGGCAACACTGACTCTATTGGTTATTTCTACAATTCAGGAAATGTCTTTCATCTACTCTTTTATATAAAATGATTGTCTGTCAGATAGTGTTCTATATCTGAGCATTCGAATTAAGACAGACTAGGAATAAGGACTTCCAAAACAGCAGGCCTTTGAAACCCTGTGTACAACGGAGCACACTTAGACTATCAGATATGGCAACTGCGGCTGAGCCCTCAAGTATGGAAACAAAGAGAAGGACGAACAGCTGTAAGCAGACACTGGTGATTGGAAGATGGAATGTGAGAACCATCAATATAAGAAAATTGGGCATTGTTAAGAAAGAAATGGAATGCATAAATATTGACATACTAGGTACTAGCGAAATGAGATGGACTGGCATGGGACATTTTGAATCAGATGATCATATGATCTACTATGCCGGACATGAAAAGGTGAGGAAAAAAGGGGTTGCTTTCATAGTTAAAAAGTCATCTCTAGATCCGTCTTAAAATACAATGTTGTGAGTGACAGGATAATATCCTTATGCATACAAGGAAGTCCAGTGACTATCACTATCATTCAAATATATTCACCTACAATTAGAGCCAAAGAGGAGGAAATAGATTTCTACCAACTTTTACAGTCAGAGATTGATCAAACATGCAATCAAGATGCATTGATAATAATGGGTGACTGGAATGCAAAAGTTGGGAACAGAGAAGGAGGATCAGTAGTTGGAAAACATGGACTGGGTGACAGTAATGAAGCCTCAGATAGAATGATAGAATTTTGCACAATGATATATTCATTGCAACTGCATTTTGTGAGAAAAAGTAATGCAGGCTATACACATGGATTTCACCTGATTGTATACATAGGAATCAGACTGATTAAACCTGTGCGGGGAAAAAAATCGCTGGAGAAGCTCTGTATCAGCTGTGAAAACTAGGCCAGGTGTGGATTGTGGAATAGACCACCAGCTACTCATATGTAAGTTCGAGCTGAAGCTGAGGAAAATGAAATCAAATCTACAGGAACCAAAATATAGCCTGAGTCTATCCCACCTGCATTTCAAAACCACCTCAGGAACAGGTTTGAGGCTCTGAACACTCATGAGCAAAGACCAGATGAGCTGTGGGAGGATATCAAGGGTATCACCCAGGAAGAATGCAGGGGCTCATTACAAAGACAGAGGAAGAAGACAAGACCAAGATGGATGTCAGAAAAGACTATAAGTATTTCACTTAGAGTGCCGAGAAGACAAAGCAAAGGGAAGAAATCAAGATACTAAGGAGATGAACAGAAGATTTCAGAGGGCAGCGCGGGAAGACTAAGTAAAGTATTATAACGAAATGTGCACAGCTGGAGTCAGAAAAATCAAAGGGGCTGAACTTGCTCAGCATTTCTTAAGTTCAAGGAACTGAAGAACAAATTCAAGCCTCGAGTTGCAATACTTAAGGATGCTTTGGTCAGAACATTAAATGATCCAGGAAGCATTAAAAGACGATGGAAAGAATATAGAGTCATTGCACCAAAAGGAACTGGTGGACTCTGAAGAATTTCACGAAACAACGTATGAGCAAAGGCCTGTGGTGCTGAAGGAAGGAAGAACTTCAAGCTGCTCTAAAAGGACTGGCAAGAAACAAGGCCCCAGGAATTGACAGCATACCAACTGACATATTTCAACAAACAGATGCTGTCCTGGATGTGCTAAGCTTTGCCAAGAAATCTGGAGGACAACTAGCTGCCAACTGACTGGAAGAGATCTATGTATGTTCCCATTGCAAAGAAAAGTGACCCGACAGAATGTGGAAATTATTGAATTAATATAACACACAATCAAGATTCTGCTGAAAATGATCCAAAAAACGTCTGGAACAGTACGTTAACAGAGAACTGCCAGGAAGTGCGACCTGGGTTTAGAAGAGGCCATGGTCCTAGGGATATTATATCTAATGTTAGATTGATCTTGGCTGAAAGCAGGGAGTACCGGATGAATGTCTATCTGTGTTCCATTGACTATGCAAAGGCATTTGACTGTGTGGATCACAACAAACTGTGGCTGACTCTGAGAAGAATGGGAATCCCAGAACACTTGATCATACTTATGCAAAACCTATACTTGTACCAGGAGGCAGTCGCCAGAACAGAGCAGGGAAATACTGCATGGTTCAAAATTGGGAAGGGTGTCCGCCAGGGATGTATCCTGTCTCCATACCTTATGCAGAACAGATTATCTGGGAGGTTGTGCTCTATGAGGAGAAATGTGGCATTAACATTAGAAGAAGATTCATCAACAGCCTGCATTATGCAGATGACACAACCCTGCTCCCTGAAACTGAGGAGGACTTGAAGTGCTTGCTGCAGAAGGTGAAGGACTACAGCCTTCAATATGGATTGAAGCTCAAGATCAAGAAGACAAAGATACTCACCGCTGGGCTGATTTGGCAGCATCATGAAGATGATGAGGAACTTGAGATGAGGAGATTGAGACTGTTAACAGCTTTAGTTTGCATGGCTCCACAATCAACACCAGCAGCCAGGAAATGAAAAGACGAATTGCATTGGGAAAGTCTGCTGTCAGAGACCTCTCCAAAGTACTGAAGAGCAGTGATGTCAGTCTGGAAACTAAGGTACACCTGATACAGGCCATGGTCTTTGCAATCACTTGATAATGCATCAGAAAGCTGGACAATGACTAGGGATAAAAGAAGGAGAATTGAAGCTTTTGAGCTGTGATGCTGGAGAAGAGTATTGACTGTACCATGGACTTCTAGGAGAACAAATAGGTTCATCCTAGAGAGGGTGAGATCAGGCTGTTCCTAGGAAGCAAGGATTCTGAAGTTTTGTCTGACATACTCTGGACATGTTCCAAGGAGGGACCGGTCCTTGGAGAGGGACATCATGCTTGGGAGGGTGGAAGGACAGCTCAAGAGAGGAAGACCATGGATGAGATGGATTGATTCAGTAATGGGGGTAATGGGGGTAGTTGTGTCAGAGGCAGTAAGACTGACACAGGATAGAGCAGGGTTTAGGGCTGTTGTACATAAAGTCACTATGAGTCGCAGGAGACTCGATGGCACATATCACCACCACCACCAATAACAATTTTTAAAAGCATCAAAGAACAGTTACAGGACAAATACTGAATATTACCACAAAGCTAGGCAATGACATTCCTTGTTCCATGGTCTCCTGATAAAATTTCTATTTCTGGCAGTTCCCTATCCATTCCAGCCACTTAAAAATTAGGCTGTGCCTCATCCAAGCCATGGCATCTCCAATTACTTCATATGCATGCCAAAGATGGATAATGAGAGCACAGAATCGGTGCCTTCACACTGTGGTGTTCGATGAAGAGTACTGACTATCATGGGCTTCTCTCACATACTCTGGATGTGTTATCTGATGGCTCCGTCCTTGGCCAAGTCGAGGGTGAGCAAGGGAGAAGGAAGACCTTCAGGGAGATGGACCGACACAGTGAGCGTTCCAGTGGGTTTGTGCACAGCAGAGAGTGTGTGGGTAGCAAAGGCTTCAGTCAGAGCTGACATGCTGGTACCTGACAACAATAACATGGAATGGACAGGCAACTGTCTCCATGAACAACTTTCCTCCTGTGTCACAAGACCTGAGGAACTCAATGGGTCCTGCTTCCATCATAGAACATTTATATCAAAGATTTCACAGAAAAGTCCTGATGAATAGGGTGAAAATACAGAACATTTTAAATCAGCATGGTGTCCAGACTTTCTGGAGCCATGGAAGCTGGATGAACCTCAGAAATTAGTGGTTTAAGATAAGTTTTAGAACTTAAAGCACAACATCCCCCCCCAAGTACTTGAAAAAACAAATAATCACCATGCTTAACTAATAAATAAGTCTGCTTTGAGCATTGTGCTCTTTTATGAACTATATGGGCTTAAAGTGACAACAGCAACTTCAAAGTTTCAACAGACTCTTAGGGGACAGTGAGTTCTTGGTAACGGGCAGGAATAGCTCAGAAAAGTAGGGTGAGAATGGCCGCACAAACTGAAGAATGAACTCCATGGCATGAATGGTACATGCAGAAACTAGTGGAATTGCTATCTACTTTGTTGTGTATTATTTCACAACAATAAAAAAATCTTTTAAGGAAACTTAAAGTACTTACTGAATTTTTTATTATCAAACATGAGATATCTGAAAATAATACCACAAAAAAGAAAACCCCACAAAAATAAAATGATAAAAAGGACCTTTCAAATTGTTGCCCATGAAAGTTACATAATAAACTAATAATAAACTAAGACCTAATAACAACCTAAGACCTTTCAAACTGTTACCCATGAAAGTAATGGCCCTCACCTACCCAAGACCTTTGGAGTGCCCACTATTCTTGACATAAGTCTGTAAGTAGTGACTGAAAAAAGACATCTAAAAGAATTCTCCACACGTATGCAGTGCCTTTTTTTACATGGTAGAAATCTTATTTTGAAATTAATAACCAAGAACTAAACAAGGTGAGGTTGTCTCAGAGACACTGTTCTCAGTGGAGCAGCTGCCTCAGGCCACTTCATGGATCTCCTCCTGGCCATTCCCTCTCCCCTTACCTTGCCCATGAGGGGAGACCGGACCTCCAGCTCACCCAGGCTCACACCATCTTTAAAATCTAGTACAGTGGAAATTTTTCTGTCCATGCTCCTAGTCAGTTTATAAAAATCTATGGATTTATCTAGGAACTTGACCACCCAAAATGACAAGGCATGGGTAACAAAATTTCTGCAAATAATTTAATTTTTAAAACTTAGAATAGGACTCAATTTGTCTGTCTTACAAATTCACAGAGAATGGAAAGAGAAAATGGCCTTCACTTAAACAGGAAAGAACCTAAGATACTTTTTTTCCAGGACAGAATCCAGTAATTTTATGAAGCAGGATTACCGGTATTGGGGATTTCGAGCCCAGACTCCAGTTCCAATGGAGGCGCCAACAATGACCATTAGCTTCCACAGCCATATGGGTGCAAAGACAGCCCAGTAACTCCACTGAATGATGCCATCCAGACGAAGGGCCAGCAGCACAGAAAACAGCAGCAGACAGGCATAGATGAGGAATTTACTAGGAGAAAAGAGAATGGTTAAAGGGGATTCCTTTTTACAAACATGTGACACTGAACGAGGAGTTATAACAGCAATATTTTTCAACATAGTCACTCATGTACACCAATGTTCAGTGCAGCACTATTTACAATTGCCAATGGGTGGAAATGACCAGAAAGTCATCAACAAATGAAGGGTGTCCAAGACATACAATGGATCACGACTCAGCCATGGAGAGAGATGAAGTCCCGAGGCATGCTGCCACGTGGGTGAAGCCTGAAGACATCATGCTGAGTGAAAGAAGTCAATCACGATAAACACTGCATGGTGTCACTTACATAAAAAGGTTAGGATATATAAATGGGGTAAATAAATATAAATGCAGACTCTAGAATAGGGAAATGGATAAGTACGCAACACAGATGGGAGGGAGGGGGAAAGAGGGGCTTAGCAGTACAAAGAGCTTCTGTTAACAGTCAGGGAATAATCTGAAAACATAGAGTGGTGATGGCTATACCCCCCAATGGATGTCATTAATGTCACTGCAGTGTACATGGGAAAATGTAGAGATGGCACATGTTTTGTTCCATGTATACTTACCACATTTTAAATAAGCAAGTCACTAATTCAATACCATTTATTGGAAAGTTCTATGTAGCAGACATACTGTGTTAGGGGATAAGAGAAACATAAAGAAGACTAAATCACATTCCCTGCTTTCCAGTAGGAGGGAGTCCACACAGAAACATGCAATCCTAACACAACATGACAGGTGATGTTGCTCTAGACAGAGCCTATTAGGGCCCACAGAGGAAACATGGATTCCCTTTGGGGTACTGGGAAAGAGAGGAGCTGGGGTTGGAGGGAACATGGAAAACTGCTAGACAGGGAAGGAAGAGAGACGAGGAAGCGTTCCAGACAGAAAGAACACTCCCTCACAACAGAGAGTCTGGACAAAGCAGCCACCGTCAAGATATGGTCAAGTTCTCTCGCAGGTTCCAGTAAAAAGGCAGCCATTTGTCACGTTCATACACAGCAACATCTTGGCATATTTTTTTAAAATTGAACAAAATAAAGAAAGCCAAACTAAACTCACTGCTGTAAACTCCAACTCATGGTGACTTGTCCTTAAGTTTCTGAGATGAAGTCTTTATAGGAGAAGAATGCCTATCTTTCTTCTTCAGAGTGGCTCATAGGTAGATTTGAACCGTTGACCTTTTGGTTGATAGTCCAACATAGTATGGACTACAACACCAGTCCCTTGAATCTCACATGCTTTCATATCACACATAAAAGAAAATTCCTGAAGAGAATGTCCTTAAAATAGTAATGTGGAACTATACTGTCAAGGATGCAATTACTAATGGAAGCTAGATTTGACCCTCCCACTTTAAGGGAGAGTCTGGACCAATAGGCTGTGGCAGTGAGGGGCCAGAGAGCAGGAAAGAAACTACTATCTTCCTAGCATGCTGTCTACAGGAAGTCCCCAGCTGCAGCACGGCAAGGGACATTCCCTCAAAGCGACCAGAGACAACTCCTAGCAACTTTCTTACCTACAGAGATCAGAGGTGAGAAAGGTTCCAGCAAAGTAGCCAAATGCTGGGATCACCGATCTGGAAAGAAGGCAAACCCAGAGGTCCCCTTTTCAGAAGGGGACCCTGAGCACAAACCGATCCTCTCCCGGTCTGTAGGTCACCAGTCCAGGCGGGCTCAGCTGCTTTCTCTGTCCAGTCTCAACAAGCTGACATCAAGGCTGTCTGGGCTCTTACAAGAAGCTTCTGGAAAGAAGCTGCTTTCAATTCACTGAGGTTGTTAGCAGATTCTGGGGCTGCAAGGTAGAGGTCCCCACTTCTTCGCTGCCTATCAGCTCAAGGCTTCCCTAAAATCCTAGAGGCCCACATGTAAGGCCTTACCACTCAAAGCTAGCAATAGCATACTGAATCCTTTCCAGGCTAAAATCTGATTCTCCTTCTGCCACGTCTCTCCTGCTTCCAGCTAGAGAGTTCTCTGCTGCTAAGATAAAGCTCTCTTCTTCTTCATGGTTGCTGCTGTTAGGCCCCACCACGTCGGTTCTCATAGTGAGCCCATGTAGACAGAATAGAAGTAAACTACCTGGTCCTGCCCCATCCTTACAGTTGTTGCTATGTTTGGTCCCATTGTTGAAGCTGCTCTGTCAACCTGTTTGATGGAACGTGTTCTACTTTTTTGCTGACTCTACTTACTGTCTTTCTCCAGGGACTCACATAATTAATACATCATAAAGGAAAGGGTCAGTGCAAAGGAGGAAAATCTTCAATGAGATGGACTGAAATAGCAACAGCAACAATGAGGCCCATCCTGATAGCACTTCTGAGGATAGCATAGGACTGCTCAGTGTTTTTTTCTATTATACATGGGACACAATGGCTTGGCACCAACTCAGTAGCACCTAATTAGAACGATGCACCTACTGATACGTACTCTATCAAAGCATCATCATTTTCTAGGGTTCTGTAATGTTCTGTAATTTTAGGGTTCTGTAATGACTACAAACAAATTAGCTGAAGACAATAGCAATTTATCATTTTATAGCTCTGGAGGCTAGAATTCCAAGACTATGGTCTTTCTGAAGCATAAGGGAAGAACACTTCTGTCTCACTCTACTTTCTGGCATCATCTACTCTACTGGTATCCATCGTACTATATAGTCTGACCCCATCTTAATTGATAACATTCTCAAAGGTCCTATTTCCAACTGAGGTGAAGTTTGTAAGTATCAGGGGTTAGGACTCTTTGGGGAAATGGTAATTCAATCCCCAACAGATATAAAAACTAGTATTTAGAAGATTCATTAACTCAATTAAAAACCAAATAAGCAAAAAAGTCAGTGAGCAGAAGGGCACTGCTTTCCAGTTTTGCAGTTTTTGAACAGAAGACACGTCTCTTCTAATATCTACGTCCCATCCAATATGCTGTAAGTATATAAAGGAAAAGGCGCTCTAAAGGCATAACACATTGAACTTCTGACCAAAAGGTCAGTGGTTTGGATTTACCAGGTGCTCTGTAGGAGAAAGATGAGCAGCCATTTCCTATATAGATTTACAGCCTTAGAAAACTAATGGAGGGTTGTTAGGAGTCAGAATTGATTTGATGCTAGTGTAGTTTGGGGTTGTTTGGGTGTGGTGTGTGTTTTTTTGGTGTTTGCTTGATTTTTTAAAAAAAGAAAGCCAATCTCACAGAGATACGCAGTTAGAAAAGAACAATTAACAGGATATAGAAACTCAACAAGTGGTAGTTTCTGAAAGGTTAATGGCAATGTGGAATCTTTTTGTTTTCAGAGACACTGAACCAGATGGTGTCTCCTGCACTCTGAATGGACCCTTTGTACTTGTGCAGTCTCATGCAGTGACTGAGTGAACAAGATCGTTCAAACACTGACACATTTTACCATATAATCTAAAAAATTACACCAGTTAATATCACCACCCACGGCATCAGAAATATCTTAAGTATTTGAAAAAAAAAGAAATATATTAAATATTTGGAAGCTGTCATCCTCATGGTGGTAAAAGCATTCAAAAATTTATTATTCCCTTCAAAGCCCAATTTTTTTCCATTTGCAAAAAAATACAGTAATTGTTTTCTTTGAAGCGGAAGATACATAGCTTTCCTTTTCAAGAAAGTATCTCTCAAATATTTTAACACAAATAGCATAGTGTGTCTGTTCCACATAAAAACGGGCTAGGTCAGCCTCACTAGCAGTTTTCACTGAGTCAACCCCTGTACCTCAGCTGACGGCAGTAGCTCTATGAGATTTCTTCCCATCTCACCCCAGGAACAGTAAAACAGACAAGGGACAAGATTTAGTGAAATGAAACATTTCTTATGAGCTTTATCAAGAATATTAAAAAAGGAATAAAATCTCAACTATACAGTCTGGTACCAATTCCCAAAAGATGACTGGAACTGTATATTAAAACCAAGTATTATTAGCAAGAAGATAGTATGAGGCAGCAAGAACACAGTTATAAGAAATGAATTAAAAACAAACCAAGATGGAAGAGAAACAAAAATAAAACAAATCAAAACCAAATTCATAGTCAAAAGATTTGAGGCATTTAAATTCCAAATATAAAAACAGAATCCACAAGAACAACATGCGCAGTGTGAGCAGGACAGATGGAATTTGAGTGAGAACTATTATTAAAATAATTAGTTTGGGAGCTATGGTAGCAAGGAGCCTCAGCGGGGAGCAGCGTGCCTCAGGGGGGAGCAGAGAGCCTCAACCAGGAGCAGTGAGCTGTAGTGGGACCCACCCGCAAGCAGGACTGCGGGAATTTGCGTGAGGTACTTAGGGGAGGATCACTGTTGATTGCTGAACCACGTGGGACCCCTTCAGTAGGGAGTAAGCCAGCTGGTGCTTGACTGGGGTGGCAGACCCAGTTCTCTAGGGGAAAACCAAGGCTTCCTGGTTTTCCATTCAGGTCCCCATGCATGCCCCTCCCCCCGTGCATCTGCATGTGTGCCTCCCCCCTCCTGCCCCTGCATGCATCTATGTGTGTGCCCACCCTACATGCATGCATGTGCCTGCCTAACCCTCTTCTGAAGCAGTGATTTCAGATCAAGAACCTATCATTATCTCAGGCATGAAAAACTCTACCACAGCAAGGTCAAGAAAGAATCAGTCTACCTCACACACTACACAAACCCAACACAAGATATCACCCCCAAAAGTGAGAACAGTGTCAATGGATTTTCTAAAGCCAGGAAGTCTGATGGAACTTTCTGATGCTGAATTTAAAAGAAAAATGACTGAATATTTTCAATGGATGAAAGAAAAACTTGAAGAATTATAGGATACTGCAAGCAAAACCCACAAGGAGCTTAAAAAAAACAATCCAAAATAATGCAGATAAAACAAACAAGGCATTAACTGTACTGGAAAAATAAGAAACCATCATCCAAAATATGAGGTCCTATGTTTCAGATGCTGTCAACATGATGGAGGGACACATGAGAAGAGTTGAAGAGATGGAACAC